CTTAAAAAGGCTTGAAGATAATTATTGTTTCCCTGATTTCGGTTCCATATCATCAATAAGATCATAAATGATAATTTTATGAATAACTTATCTTATGTCTGTTTACAATTATTATGAAAATTTGCTGAGGGACACTTAATAAGTGAAATAAAAAGAAAACATAAGTTTTGTGGCCTATTTTTGATATATTTAGTGATATTTACCATTATTAGACTTAAGTCGATATACTTACCCAAATCCACAGAGAACACCCCACACACTTGATCCTTGGCACTTTTATGTTCCCCTCGTGCTCCTACCACGCCAAGAGAGTTGTTTGGGAAAGTGAGGTTGTGTGCACCCGACTCACAGCTTGAGGGTGTGTCTGACGGCTGGTCCCAGTCTGGGGAGGACACCAGGGAGGGGCTAGGTGGGCCCGAGTCAGGCCCAGAGGTACTAGAGGAGGAGGAGGAAGACAGACGGTACCTTGTTACACTGATGTCTGGCCTTGGCAAATTAGCACCATGATGATGATTTTCTGTAGATGATGTTTGGACTAGTTGTAAGTCAGTAGGAACATTTGACCTTTGACATGATGTCAATGGTTCCTGGTCAACATGGCCATTTGTATGTATATCCTCCCGGAGTTCCTCCAACATGTTATGGTAGCGTCTCCCTGATGGACTTGGATGAGATGAGTCAGAACTCAGACTGTTTTGCTCCACATCTGTAGAACTGCTGCTGTCAAATTTATTGTGATTTTTGTTGATGTTACAGTCCTGGAAGTCGTACTTCTCCTCACTATCTACTTCCTCTGTAACCACCACCAAGTTGTCACCATTCATTTCAATGCTCACAGACTTATTAGAGTCTATGCGATCTCGTGTGGGCGCTGCACGCAGTTTGTTTCTATTGAGCATGACCGCCAGCTGCTCCTCCGGAGTAAGACCATCACTGGTGTCTGGCGAGCTGGGTGTACATGGTGTAACATTGGTATTGCCCTCTTTCTGACTATGAAGATTATTGACTGTAAGCCCTACCTTACCTACTCCTTTACTTACACTAGGTAACTCATTGTTCTGTAATACCTCATCAGGACCTATCCCAGAGTCGGTTTGGGACTTATTGCTGGTACTTAATTTGCGCACAAAGTCTTCAGGTTGGGCCCAGCTATCACAATAATCATCACGGGAACACTCAGAGTGGACGCTGCCATTGTCAAAATTAAAACGCTTTTGTGCCTTAGTGCTGGGCATATCATAAGTAGCAACACCACACACATCACTGCTTACCGACACACACGATCCCTGGGGCGAGCTGCTTGGTGAAGGCGTTGGCTGGTCGGACCGGGCAAAGTCTGGCCGAGGGGGGCGCCGTGGACTGACCTTGGGTGTGGAAACATCTGCGCGGTTGGGGCTGTTCTCTATGCTGCGGGGATTTTTTTTCAGTGAGGAGTTGGGTATCCAGGTCAGGATCAGTGTCGGGCCATTGCTCTGTAAGACAAATCTTCATCAGCAAAATGTTCATAATCTAACAGAACTTGTAGACATCCATTTCCTTTCAAAAAATGTTAAATCAAAATAAAACTAGAACTGTAAGCCAAAGGCTAACTAATACCCCCCGCTACTATATAAACCAGTTCTACAGGAGAAGTGGTTTGTAGCAATATAGCCAAATTGCCCCCTTTTGGCCCCGCCCCTCAGCCCCCTGGATGGTCAGCCCCACCATTTGTACAATTTTAAATCTCCACCACCTAGGGATGCTTCCAGTCAAATATGGTTGATATATATCATTCTCTTAGTTCCAGAGAAGAAGTTGCTTAAAGCAATATAGCAAAATTGCCCCCTTTTTGCCCAGCCCCTCAGCCCTCTGGGGGGTCAGCCCCACAATTTGTACAATTTTGATTCCCCACCACCTAAGGATGCTTCCAGTCAAATTTAGTAAAATTCCAATCAGTGGTTAGGTTCAACAAAGGGCCATAACTCCGTAAACAAAAGGCCCAGAGGGCCTTTATTGCTCACCTGGAAACGTTAGCAAAATTGAAGTTGGAATAGCTAGATGTTGCTGGTAGTGTACATGTATTACATGGTAGGGCTGGGACGAATCAGGATTTTTTCGAATCGGTTCGATTTCGATTTCGATCCCTTCGAATCAATTTTTTCGAATCGATTCACTTGATACACACTTTCTCATAAAAACATAAGAATCAAGTATAAAACCTTTATTTAAGGTATAACAAAACAAAAGTAACAGTTTATAAAGTAGCCATGGTAACATATTAAAGTTTTTACCAAAAAAAAAAAAAAAAAAAATTTTTTTACATGCACAATGAATTCTTTTGAATGCCTGATAACTATATTAAATACCATATAACGGGAACAAAAATACAGTAAACACCTTCCTGAGTCATTAATAAAAAAAAAAAAAAAAAAAACAGTGTCCAGGAAAAATATAAGATGGGCAGTCAAGAGGAAATTTTCATTGTATATTGTTCACAGATCTATATATTTATATACCAGATATAATAATTTTAACATGTACAATATACTGTCAAATGTATAATATGCAAAAGGTTGAATAAAAACATGTAAATTTGAAAAAAATAAGTTAAAATGTTTTCACTGCTAGGGGTAGATCGGGTTGATATTGATTGCTGCGAGTCATTAATTGAAATGCCATGCTTTCTTTTTAAAAGATTTGACATCAAAGACGTAGACACTGTTCGGTATTTGAATGCAGTGTTCCCCGTCACTTTTGTAATTGGTTTTTTTTGTACCCCATACCTCTCAAAATGGGGGTATGGCTGCATATATTAGGGGTACACCTTATCTTAATCCCCATGGGTATGTAATATCATCACAAAATTGTTAACTAATTGTAGCAATGTCATTTTTACAGGTTTTATATATTTCATATTTCCAGTTTGTCATAGAATAAAAACACCTAGAATTAGTCAGTAACAGAATGAAAATTGTGTAAGGAGGCAGTATCCAAATCGGACCAGTACCCAAATCGGATCACTTTTGGCAAAAATGCTTATACTTCAATAAATGTGCCAAAAAATCAGTTATAACAACGATGTATTCTTAGCCATGCAGGCATGCACCAGTTTATTTCTACAGATGATTCGTTTTTAAGTTGAAATTGCACAAGAAAACGTAATTCAAACTCAAATGTCAGTGTTTTGATTACGTTTTCAAAAATGGCGCGTATTACTGAAACAGAGATCATGTAACTTACCCACACTGGGCACAGACAGTCATTATGTAGTAATATGAACTGAAAGTTGTCGTCTTTAGCTGACGACTGAAATCCAAATAGAGTCTGCCGTTTTTTTCCGTCATTCATGATCGATTATGCAGTATAGTGATAATCAGCCCCGAGGATACGGATAGTCCGGGGATTATCGTAGGACAGTGCGGACTCATTACCTCTCGTAGTAATTATATTCGCCGCTTGGTGCGCTGCATACATTGTTTACAACCGGACTTCCATCATTCGCGGGAAATTCTGACAGTCACTTTCAATCTTCTGAATATCATCATTTAAGATATAAACATGCTACAACAATGACTTAACATTGTACAAAATTATTGTGCGTACACTCACGCTTAGTATCAAATATTGGAACCGAACCGAACCGGTTGCCGGAAATCCTTATCGGTGATTCGATTCTGAAGTTCTGATTTGCGAAGCACCGATAATTTCGGTGCACCGCACACCCTTATTACATGGTTAGTCAGGAGTTATATTTATATACAATTTGACAAAATCACGTCATTTCTACAGGGAAAAGAGGATTTTGAAGAATTTGCTATGTTTCCCCTATTGGGCCCCATCCTCTGCCCCCAAGGGTTCAGACCCACCGTTGATGCAAAATTGGTTCCTTTTCACATAAGGATGCTCCATACCAAATATGGACCAAATCCTTTCATTCATACGGAAGAAGGATTTTAAAGAATTTGCTATATTTCCCCTATTGGGCCCTGCCCCTCAGGCCCCTGGGGTGGGGCAAGACCCATCGCTTATACAAAGTTGGTTCCCCTCCAAGGATGATCCACAATAAATATGGACCAAATCCTTTCATTCCTACAGAAGAAGAAGGATTTTAAAGAATAATTTTCAATATTCCCCCTATTTGGCCCCACCCCTCAGGCCCCTGGGGTCGGGCAAGACCCATCGCCTATACAAAGTTGGTTCCCCTCCAAGGATGATCCACAATAAATATGGACCACATCCTTTCATTCCTACAGAAAAAGAAGGATTTTTAAGAATAATTTGCTATATTCCCCCAATGGGCCCCGCCCCTCAGGCCCCTGGGGGGCCAGACCCACCATTTAAACAAAGTTGGTTTTTCTTCACCCTATGATGTTCCACACCAAATTTTGTTAAAATCCGCTCCGTGGTTCATGACTAGTAGTGTAAAGTTGACGGATGACGGACAACGGACGATGTGGTATGGCATAAGCTCACCATTTTTAGCTCACCTTCGGACCAGGTGAGCTAAAAATGGTCAGAATGAAAAAATAATACCTGGATATACAACAAAATATTTCTACAGAGAGACAGACAGATCGACAGACAAGCTGATTCCAGTATAACCCCCTAACATTGACCCTGTACCTGTGACATCAACCCTGTACCTGTAACATTAACCTAACCCTGTACCTGTGACATTAACCCTGTACCTGTGACATTAACCCTGTACCTGTAACATTAACCCTGTACTGATGACATTATTCCTGTACCGATGACACTAACCCTGTACCTGTTACATTAACCCTGTATCTGTTGCATTTACCCTGAACTGATGACATTAACAATGTACCGGTGACATTAACCCTGTATCTGTTGCATTTACCCTGTTCTGACGACATTAACCCTGTATTAGTGACATTAACCCTGTAACTGTGACATTAAACATGTACCGGTGACATTTTCCCTGTACTGATGACATTTACCCTGTCCTGATAACATTAACCCTGTACCCGTAACATTAACCCTGTACCAGTGACCTTTACCCTGTACTGATGGCATTAACCCTGTAATTGTAACATTACCCCTGTCCTTGTGACATTAACCCTGTCTCTGTTGCATTTACCCTGTTCTGACGACATTAACCCTGTACATGTGACATTAACCCTGTACCGGTGACATTTACCCTGTACTGATGAAATTAATCCTGTATTTGTGACATTACTGGTGACATTAAACCTGTAATGATGACATTAAACCTGTATTTGTGACATTAACCCTGTACCAGTGACATTAACCCTTTATTTGTGACATTAACCCTGTATTTGTGACATTAACCCTGTATCTGTTGCATTAACCCTGTACTGATGACATTAACCCTGTATTTGTGACATTT